TTGTTCAGGCCAGTCAAGTTCCTCCACCCCAAACTCGCTCATCCATGTCTTTATGGACCTTGCTTTGTAAAATCATCACACAGTACACACACTAAACATTGTTAGAGATGCCAGTGGCAGTTAGTTCACACAAAGTGTCAGCATCAGATTGCCCCCCGTACTATCACTGTCCAGCTATAGTTCACTTATTGCCGCCATTACTAGTATAAAAAATAAATTCAAATTCCAGTATATATACACCATAGTTTGTAGACACAAAAACTTTCACGCAAACCAATTAATATACACTTATTGGGAGTTTTATTTACCAAATATATGTAGCAGAATACATTTTGGTCTAAATTTTATGAAGAAATTTGATTTCATACATTTTTTATTGGATATGTTATATTGCAGAAAGTAAATCATACTGAGGTTTTCTTCAAAATGTTCTATCTTTTTTCATTGTTATAATAAAAAGAATAAAAAAAACCCAGTGGTGATCAAATACCACCAGAAGAAAGCTCTATTTGTGTAATAAAATGATATCCATTTTTCTTTGCACACAGTGTTGCACAACCAAGCAATTATCAGTTACAGTAGTGCAGTGCCAAAGAGTTAAAAAAAATGACCTGGTCAGGAGGGGGGGGTAACATCTTCTGGATGGTAAATGATTATATAGACATTCAGTGTTTTGTTTTGTTTTGCTTTTTTGCAGTAAATACACCTCTTTGTTAGGCTATGTGGCCATGCACACATAGGCATTTACAGGCAGATTTGAAGAGCAGCATTTACAGGCAGAAAAAAATGCACCAAATGTATATTCTGAGAGGAGTTTATGGGAATAATTCACACATGTAGTGTTTGTGTATTCCATGTGTGGGAACGTGTATTCATAGATTAATATTCTGGCCAGTAGAATGTATTTATACTCAAAGTCTTACGTGCATAAATGCTCAAACTTCTCTGGCAAAAATAAATCCAGACTTTGAACATAAACTCATATGCTAGTGATAATAAAAATTGTGAATAAACACAAGTGCTTACTATGGTGAATACAAAATGTAAATAAATAAGTATGATATGAATACTGCAGCCCCTAGTGCACACAACCCATGTCTCAGTGGGCTAAATAATGAATAATATCAATGAAAATGTGCTGCGCTACATATACAAAAATGCACAACACCTATAAAATATATATACGTAGAACAGTGACATAAAAAAACAGAAATTATGTGACTCAAAACAATGTATTAAATTAATATTCCAAAAAAAAAAAAAACAATTAAAGTCCAATTTATGTGTTCTCCTGTGACCCCTCCTTGAGATAACAACCACCGTGTGCATCTGTCACAGAATTCCAGTGCAAACCATCCTGCACCATAAATCTGCTCACCTCCAGCAGTGTGACGTCACACTGTACAGTGTTTTGGTCTAACTGCACTTTTGGTTCCAAATGTATGGACTCTGAAGATGAAATTGCTGAATAATAGCTCCAAAAGATGCTCCCTCCAGATAACCGCCTCAGACTCAGCCGTATTCCTCATAAACAGAAGCTCAAAATGGTGATTTATCCTTTAACCACTTCCCGTCTGGCCCATGTATATAAACGGCCAGACGGGAGCAGTGCAGGGGCAGGTTGCCGTTCATAAACAGCGCCCGCTATTTTGGCCTGTGCATGCTGTATGGGACCCCTGTGTGAGGTCCCAATCATGTGATCACTGATTGGCCATTCAGTGATCACATGAACAGTAGTAAACAAGATGTCACTTCTGACATCATTGCTTACTACGTGTGAAATCTGTGAATGATCACACAGGTCACATGGTACAAGGCTATTCACAACAGCCTTGTACCATGTGACAAGCTGTGACCAATCACAGCTCTCACAGTATTTCTCAATGGCTGTAAGAATTCAGCCAGAGAGAAATAGAATTATGAGCCTTTATGGGTGTAAAAGCAATCAGTGTAAAAAAAAAAAAAAAAATCTTCATCACCCCCCCACAAGTATATACAGTGTCACTATGGTGACACTGTACTCCTAGGGTGACAGTATGTTAAAAAAAAACATAAATAATAATATAAGAAAATAAAATAAAAATAAAACATTTTTTTAATTATAATTTTTGGTTATAAACTAATTTGGGTTATTTTTTTTTACTAAAAAGATAATTGAATACATTTTGGCCAAGATTTATGAAGAAAAATTTTATAAGAAAAATCCTTTTTTTTTTTACATTTTTGGACTTTAATTTATATAGAAAAAAAAATAAAAATCCTAGTGGTGAATAAATACCACCAAAATAAAGCTTTATCTGTCTTAAAAAAATGTTTAAAATTCATATGGGTACAGTGTTGTCATTGAAAGTGTGACAGCGCTGAAAGCTGAAAATTGGCCTGGACAGGAAGGGGGTAAAAGTGTTCGGACTTGAAGTGGTTAAAAACTTTTCTTGCACATTAAACATAAGTAATGCACTCACATTCCGGAGGTCCATATCTGCACCATGTATGGTGAATATCCAGTAATGCACTAATTAGGCACAAGATGGCAGTATCATCCCCAGCAGCATAGAACCAGTCCAGGCTCCAAACTGTCACTATACAAAGTATATTGGAAGGCAATGCAGGGCCCTGTGTATAACTGCAACTGCCTACAAATATGACAATCCTGGAGAGATTACTGCGATAGCAGTAGTAGTAATCCACACATCGCTCCAGGATTGTGGTGAGGTGAGCAGATTTATGGTGGAGGATGGAGGATGGTTTGCACTGGAATTCTGTGACAGATGCACACGGTCGTCGTTATCTCAAAGAGGGATCACAGGAGAACACATAAATAATTGGACTTTATTTTTTTTTGGGAATATTAATTTCATTAATTTTTTTGAGTCACATCATTTCTGTTTTTTTATATCACTGTTCTACATATATATATTTTATATGTATTGTGCATTTTTGTATATATAGTGCAGCATATTTTCATTGATATTATTCATAAACTCATATGCCCATGTTTGTGAGGTCTTATAATTACTTGTAAATATTGCTTATGTTAAATGCAACCCAGTGGCAGATTTTGTCCTGGCTCCAGACATGAAGGAAAAATTGAAAAGCAGAAGTAAATGCTTCAATCACCACAATGCTTCTGGGGATCATAAAAGCTCCTTGATGAAGCTCTGACAGTATCACATTTCAGGAACAGGGGATGGAGAGAAAAGTGTTTAGACACACGAAGTTCAGTCTTATGCCCTCTTTCAAATGGGTGACCAAAGAGTGGTAAAAACAGGTGGTTGACCTATGGTTATACCAGCCCCAATTGCCAACATAAATTCTATCATTACAACCAGTTGGGGCTGTACACATGGCGTAGTCCTAATGCATTGCTTTGTGCCTGTAGCAATTTTTTTAACTTGACTAGCAGAGTTTGACAGGTAGCACCTCCTGTCAAAAATGCCCATTAAAGACAAAGGAAGTGTGCCACACAACCACAAGCCAAGCATTTGTGTAGTACAAAATCCCCCTTAGGTAAAAAAAAAACAAAAAAGACATTCAGAGGTGGCAGGATTGCCTCCGGAATGCCTGGCAGCAATGAAAAATCCTCAGTGCAATCACCCTAAAACAGTGCAAACTAATGGAAGAAAAAAACTCTATCTAACAGCGATGTATAACTAATGCTAGTATAACAGTATAAGTGACTCAGTGCTGCGCAGTACTAAATCTTCCGATGATAAATTCTCATGTGCTGTGCAATATCACATAACATCATATAATAAACTGAATTAGGTGGACATGCGTGTATCCTATGCGTTTATGTCCAAACATAGAATATGCATAGAATGTATGCGTCTATGTCATCACAATATATCTGGAACAATACTCAAATGAAATCTTATAATAAAGTATGTTTGGTGGACATGCGTGTATTATATGTGTATATGTCAAAACATAGAATCATGCGTAAAATATATGCGTTTAACTCATCGCCATATATCTGAAACAAGCCACACCCATAACTACAAAACAAAATAATGACTTAGGAGTATAGAACTCTGGACCTGCGCAGGGGGCGGGGCTGTGACCAGATAGAGAAATGAATACAGGAACAGAAAAATGTGGTCATATAAAGAATATTATTCAGACTAAAGCAGACATGTATCACCTCGGGATACACCACTAGGACAACACTCTGATTATGATGTCATCCTAACAGGTGTTCCTCTATTATGGTGACATCATTTACCAAAACGACCCGACACACATTTCCATTCGCAGAATATGAGATTGTATAGCAATTATTGAATGACCTATCAGTCCCTTCCATGGACATGGAGAGCTCTGACTTCTCCATACAGATCTGTTTCCTCTGTTACAATATGGGACTTTTCTTGGATTTTTGCCCCCTGGTCATTTCCATTCAGCGGTCAGTTTCTACCAGACAGAATACTGCTAAGGAGGGGGAGGGGACGATTATTTCTTCCAATATGAAGGTTTTAGTGTATTTCTGAGGTGGGAAGCTAGATCATCCCCTTGTCCTGATTGATTATTCCTCTGTTAGGTTAGATTACAAGCTCCATGAGCAAAGGGCCCTCCTATTCCTTGTGAACTGAACTGTATTGTAATTGTACTGTCCCCCTTTCTATTGTAAGGTGCTATGCAAATTGTTGGCGCTATATAAATCCTGAATAATAATAATGTTATTTACATGAAATCTATAGTGTATTTTTAGTGACTGTGTATGGAATTGTAATAAATGTAATAACTGGATATGACATTACTGACCGGTCATTTTTTAATATTCCAGGGTGTTCACATATATTTCATTCTGTCTAATTCTCATACACAACTTCTGAGGTGTAACATCTCCCCTCTCACTTAGGAGTCTATTTTTAAAACAAATGTTATATGAATGTGACAAACATTGGACCATCCTTGCTGAATTCTAGATATAATGTATTAATACAATGACTTGTTATTACTATAAGCTATAAGATCTATTGGCCATAATTGTTTCTATAACTGCATTATGGCAACTAGATGGAGCCTGACAATCATAGGAAAACACTGTATTAGTAAAAATATGGCCAGAATTTGTCAGGAGTCTCCAAACTGTGGCCAGAGGGAGTAGAAAAAGTCCTGGTGTCAGTGGCAGTAAAAAAATCCCCATGACTGGTGGCAGTGGGAGGAATAGTATCACATATTGGTATCAATGAGAGGAATAGTGCCCCATCATTGGTATCAGTGGGAGGAATAGTGCCCCATCATTGGTATCAGCGGTAGGAATAGTGCCCCATTATTGGAATAGTGTCAGTAGGAGGATTAGTTCTCCATTGTTGGTGTCAGTGGCAGGAACTATGCCCCACTGTTGCAGACAGTGAGAGAATAATGCCCCAAGGGCCGGATAAAATTAAGCAAAGGGCCACATCCGGCCCTCGGGCCTGCAGTTTGGAGACCACTGGTTTCGGTGAACAAAGGTGAGTATAATGTTTTTGTGTCATCAGATGTAGCTGAGTCCCACTGGGGTGTTTCTAGCACAGATCACTGATCTGAGAATTCTCATTTCCATCTCCCCGGTATTTGCATACACAGTGTGTGGGGGGAACACCTCCCCTGTCACTCTCTCTATATATCTCATTGTACAGGAGACGTCTTCTAGTTTGGATCTGACCCTCCAGAAACATCAAGATGCTTTCTCCCAGTTATCTGCTGGCTGTCATCTTCATTTCTATTCAGGGTGAGAGATGAGGCTCCTTCCATCCTCCTCTGCACATACATCTATACATTGTACAATAAATACACACATCAGGATTGATAGGAAGATATCCAGACATTGATCAATAATCAATATGTCTCTTCCCATCCTCAGGATCCTGTGGAGAGATTGTGATGACTCAGACTCCGGATTCTATCTCTGTGTCCCCGGGACAGACAATCACCATCACATGTACATCCAGTACAAGCCTAACTTAGGCAGCATCAGCTACCTAGCCTGGTACCAACAGAAGCCCCAACAACCTCCAAAGCTTCTTATCTATTATGCCAGCACTCGGCAATCTGGGATCCCGGACCGGTTCACAGGTTCAGTGGTTTCGGATCTGGAACTGAATACAAATTAACTATTAATGGAGCAACTGAAGATGATGAAGGAAGATATCTCTGTCAGCAGACAGGGTGGACACCTTTCACACAGTGATACAGAGCCGTACAAAAACCTCCTTCCTCTTTTCTAAAGAAACACAATCACAGATGTCACACCGGGAACATTCATGGTAATAAATGTAATAAATGGGTTGTTATTGTTAGCAAGAGAACTGTTAATCATGATGGGAAATTTAAAGAGTAACTCCACTTTTGGTGAGAAGATACCCTTCCCCTCTCGGTGATCTATGTAAATTTTGCTGCAGATTCCTACCTTTTGTTATTCTGGAGTAATAGCTGTTAGTTTTTCTGTGTCCATGGGCTGAGTGAATCTGTATGGGAGTGGCTTTATAATTATCAATCAGCTGCTGCACCTGCCGAACTCCAATGAGGAAAGTGGCAGGGTCTGCATCCATTTAGATATGTGATTTTCTTTTGGGAGCATCTCACCAAAATGATATTTTTGTTGTAGGGGATGCCAAAAATGTATCTTAATGCAGATTTCTGGGAAAATCAGTGAGCCAATCACTCAAGCAGGAAATTACATTTTTAGGGGGGGGT